CTACTGTATATAAAGTTATATATAAAGCTATATAACTTTTTTATGATTTCAGTACCTGTAATGCAAATATGAACTGAAAGGGCTAATGTATAAGGCCTTTAAGTGTATGTGAAATTTACAAAATATTCTGTTTGTGTTCAAAATCAAATTACATTGTTATAATGTAAAATTTTGCAATTTTATTTGTATTTAGTTATAAAAGAAGCTANGAAAACAAATATAGCTACAATCTTTAAAATAACATTTAAATTCTTATTTATTAATTATATTTTAAAGTTTATTTCAATTGCAAAGTAATTGAGATAAATTAAATTCTAGGCTTTTCGATGAATTTTTATCTGTTCATTGTTTTTGAATTATATAAAAATGCTTCGTTTAAAAGCAACTTTTCTTCTAAAGAACAATTTTATAAATTAAAAATAATCACAAATTTAATCACAATGCTCAAATATAGTAAAAAAAAATAAACATGTCTTGTAATACTTAACCTAATATCCATTACTAAAATATTGAACGTTTATTGAAAAATTGATTTCGTATTTAAAAAATATGTTTGAATTTTTATATATCAATTTGTCATTGTAAAGAAAATATTTTAGGGAAAAAAATTTCCTCTGAATTATAACCAAAGTTTTGAAGAAGCGTACTTTCCACAAATATTTTTATTTTAAGACATATCAGCATCGATATCAGTTTAAATCATATATGAAATATATATTTCATACGCAAAATGCGTGGCGAACCAACCCGAAGCGTTTTTCTTATACCAAAAGAAAACAAAAAAGTAAAGAATCTATAACCTGAAAGGATAAAAAAAAATTCAGTGTTTAGATAAGAAAATATTTTTAAAAGTAATCGATAAAAATTTGGAAAACGGAGAGAATTTAAACTAGTTAAAATCAAACAATTTCCGTTTATCTGCGCTATCATTTAAAGAGCGAATTAAAAACAACATAGTTCACTCCTTCCCAATTACCTCTTTCTAATGGGTACCGAAGGAAGAGTGATTGAAGAGTCGTAATAACGTCGGTGGTCGGTCACGTGGGAGGAAGTAGTGAGGTGGTGAGCTTCTCTATATTACCGCATCGTCCAATGGAGTCTTATTAACACCGAGGCGATGGCAATTTATCACGTGACAAACTCTTAAATCGAGACGGTTGTTCTTTATTGCTAAAACACTTTCTGTTGTTAACGTTAACGCACGACATTCCGCTCTGTCTAGTGCAGCAAAGTATGCGACTAGGTATTTGTTTGTCAGCAGACACGCAGCCAAATGAGCCAATCAATCAGCGGAGGAGTGCTACACCAAGATGCAGATATTTTGAGATTATTAGAAAAATCTGTTTGTTTTAATCCTTCTTTCATACTGCTTCTTTTTTATTTTAATAAAAACTGTGATTTTTATTTTTAAGAATCTTTTTCATTTTAGCATTTTGACATTCCCTAACTTAATTAATAGTAGGACTATTTGAAAGTTTAATCAATTTTTAATATTTATAAACTTTTTGCTTTAATTAAAACTAAATTGTCTTTTTTTTATTAAAAGACAATAATTAAAAATAAGTGGAAATAAGTATCTTTACTATTTAAGAAATGTATCTATAGATTAAAGGATCTAATAATTTACTAATTAGTTGAAGTTTTTAATTAACAAATTAATTTAAAAAAATAAATTTCCATGTTGTTTATTTTCTTTCCTTTCATTTTATCGCTTTAATTAACAAATTGTTAAAACCAGATCCATAATATAACATAATTGGAAACATTTTTAAGTAATAAAAATAAAAAAAAACTCGACTTAATTACAATCATTTTACAAAATTAATCCAAAACTTTAACTGAGAATTTAATTTCTTTATTTATTAATTGAATTCTTGCTTTAATTATATTTAATAGGCTTATTCGTTAACTTAACGAATATCTAAAAGAAAAGGAATTTTTTTTTTTGCCTGATCAAATTAATTTTAAAAGACTTCTTCATTTAAATGGCATTAAAAAGTAAAGTTAATTTAAAATTAAAGAAAGAGAAGTAAATTTCATTCTTGTATAATTTAATTTTTACAGAAGTGATTTTACTTGTATCTAGACTACTGATCTCTTTAATTCAGTGCAAAAATCTAATTAAAATTAGATTTATGCATTGATTTAAAGAGATTATGTTATGATATGTATCCTAATTTAAAATTACATATCATAACATCACTTTCAACAGGGCTTATAAAATAAAATCAAGAATGTTATAAATTATTTGCTACATGTTACGCTTGACAATAAATTCCACCAACACAAGATTTTTGGTCCGTTAACACCCATTCCATTCTAAATACTAAGAGGGCTACATCTACAACCTATAAATCAGCAGTTCGCATAACAACCTGACACACTCAATTCGTGATACCTATTCTTTTATTGTTGTTTCGATTGTAAAAAAGAGTTGTTACGTTCAAATTACTATAAACAACAACAACGTTTACAGAGGAACAACGTAAACATTCTAACCCTTAAGGCTAATGCAACGAATTAGGTAAAGCCTAACAACAAAAATCCTTTGGTAGAATTTAATTGTAAAATAACCTAAAATACAAGTTAAGTTGGTACAATTTAGAGCCATAAAATCTTTTTTTAAATAAAACAATTGCGTGTTATATTCTACATTAGCTTACTAAACTGTTAATAAATCAATTCGAGTGTTAAGAATTTTTATTGATTTTAAATTTAAAACATATGCATCTTAATTTTAATCATTTTATATCGTTTTATTAGGAAACAGAATAATACTTTTAAATCTATTTTATTTGAATTATTTTTTAATGTCTCGGGAGAAGTCAAGTTTGAACTTGAGTAGTTTTCTTTTCGAAAACATTCTATCAAACTTAATAAATGAAGATATGAAGATACTTTAAAAGTCAACTTACCACATTTAATATATAAATATAACTTCCTATTCTCGTTCAATCATCATATATGAACTTAAAATTAAATTATAAATTCAAAAACTTTTTGCACAAATTAAGCTTAATAAAAATTATATTAATTTTTAAATATATTGCTTACATTGAGGGCTTATAAATGCAGTACATACTTCACAAAATTAATCACATGGGTTAATTATTAACATTGGTTGAATATAACAATTATTAAAGCTACTGTATATANTATATTTAAATAATTTAAATAATTATAATATTTAATAAATTATAAATTACATTGTTTCATACGATATAATCAAATTCATAGATTCTAAATATTTTACAAATAAGGGAAACCCGAACCCCAATTGATTGTAATTGCATGTAACAATTGTTAAACAACTACACAAATTATATATAATAGCTCACATTTTAATATTAATTTAGTTTTTCTGTCTTAATACTTTTAAAATTAAGATAGGTAAGCTTTCTTAATAGTTATTTTCTGTTCAATATCTGCAATATCTGTTTTTCATAACAGATACGACTAGCAATTTTCAATCGATATCATTTAGCCTATAGCCAAACGGTATAAAATCTGGAAAAAAGCCTCAAAACGAAAATTGCAGTAGACAAGATATTATAATAGAGTAGAAACTATCCAACATGTGGTTCGCTTTCATTCTTAAACATGCCAAGTGTATTTAATCATCTGGATTCACGTCAGTCTAGTTATTGCTTGGCTTCTGTTCAATCTGTTCTTTTCTCCTCTAGTTACATGTCTTTCAATAGATGGCTGCAGACAGCCTGTCATTTGACCCTGACTGTTATTATCTCTGGTCGCGTTTGCCTTTTTTTCATTCTCCATATCTAGTTCCTTTTTTTGACCTCAATATAACCATACTTTCTCCCTTATATTAATCATAGTCAATAACGTGAATCCTCAAAATTAGACTTATCTTATTGTTTAACTAAAACTAAAGTGCTAAGGAATTCACATTCGATTTATATACAGCTCTAGTTTGTTAAAGGAAAAGATTTCTAATTGAATATAATTAATTATACAATAAAACTCTCCATTGACAATTATTTCGGAACAAATTGTTCCTAAATTTGATATAAATAATTAAGTAAAATTAATCATAAGGACGTCTTTTATCATTTTTGATAATGTAATATTGCATAAATAAAAACATAAAGATACGTCAATTAATTACATCTGTATCTTTTGACGTTTAAAAAATAGAAAAATGTATTTTAGACTAATTAAGAAATCAGTCAAAATCAGAATTTTTTTTCTGTTAAAAATACTTAATAAACATGATACAAGATATCCTTCACATCCTGCATCGGATAAGTTTTCGGTAATTTCAAACCCGACCGGATGTTGCAAAGCGTGACTGTAAGAAGAGCGATTTGGATGCGTGACAATGAGGATAAACCTTTCACTTAAAATCTAGTATACTTTTTTAATGAATAAGTAAATTGGAAAAAAAAACTAAAGTTACAATGAGCAAAAAACAGTCTTTAAATCACTGTAAATTAAAAGAGAAAATGAGCAATAAAACATTTCTTGTTGACAACTTTAGCGATCACATGGCTATATAAAAGTTAATGGTTTATAATAAAAATTTGTAAAATTCCATATAAATAATAGTAATAAAACATCTCTATATAAATTTTATAATAGCCAAAATAGCATAATAAAAGAACAAAAATAAAATCGCCAATGCAATCAGTGGTTCCCGTTCAATAGTTCGCTCAACTTCATTATTTTTCCTATTGGTTTAAAAGGCAAGTAAAAAAGCATTTAACGCTGGTAAAGAAAGTATCATATACATGATGGGTTATTAAATAAACAATTTACACTTTCCGTAATCCAGAAACACCTTTTCTTTTTTTCAAATTATGGAGCTTCTGTCAACAAGTCTTAAATAATGACCGGAAAGACAAGAGAAAACTATCCAATGGTGATCGTGAGCCAGCCCACCAGCTGCAGACGAACGCTTATTGGATGGAGGAGCTAACGGTTCGGCCTGATCGAGGCAGACGTTGTAAAAACAGTAAAAGGAGAACCGATATTGTAGAGACGTTACTGTGGTTAATTGCTGTCACTTGTTGAGGGAATATCCCTCGTTTCTACAATGCAAACAGCTATGTTACCTTTCCATTACAGTCTGACTTGTCCTCAATACAGCGAATCCAATGGAAGCACTAGTCTAAATGCATCCTCCACTAACACCTTCTATGATTCCGTTATTGCAGTCAGTATGCAAAATGTCCTTCCTGTATCCTACGGTAACATCGGAAAAAATTATAATTCTCCCTTTTACAACGAACGATCCAGAAAAACTTCTAAAAAGGCTCCATTTTCCATAGAAGCTATCTTAGGACTGGATGATAAACATTCTCAGGAGAGTGCGAGGATGAAACTGGTCAGAGGATGCGAAAGTAGAAGCTATCAGATTACTTCACCCCTATCACCCGATTCTACTGCTAAAGGTGAGGATATTTAAATTTATTCTTTTAATGATTTCTCCCTGCAACCTTCTTTATAATCTTTGTCATAATCTGTATAATTCTTCCTAAAATAAATATTAATTTTTAATTACTCTAGCGTAAGACTTACTTATTTCTTACTCTAGAATGTGATGCACTGATTGTTAATAAGTAAACAACAGACTATTTACACTATTTTTGAATCTTTGAAACAACAGGATGCATTTTAAGATTGCATATATATGTTTTTTTCTAAATAAAAATACTTTTTTTACAAAAATATTTCTTATAGAAGGCATAATTTAATAAGTACTACAGTATATGAAAACAAAGAATTCTATAATGATAATATGCTAATTTGGTTAATCGACATAAGTGCATAACTTAAATAATAAAACTAAGCAAATCTTTATAATCATAAATCACGCAATTAGACTTCGCAGATAAAAGGACAGAAGAGGGATCTTGCTTTCCTTAGCTTCGGGCGTTACACGGTGTGGTCTAAACTATTATGGTTTAACAACCCCCAACATAGAGGCTATTGACAATCGAAATTACCCCTAGTTTGTTACAAATTTGTATCGTTTTTAAAGCTTAATAAAAAGCCCTTTCGATGTGCACGATTGATTAAATTAAAATTGCATACATGTTTCGGTCAAATCGTTTTTCTAAATCTTAAATAATAGACTTTATTTGTTGTTATGTGAACGTTCAATTTGAATTGTTATGTATATAAAAGACTAAACGTGTCATAAAGATAAAATATTGCAACTTAACTTCAACCTTTAATCAAAATGAAGATACTGTTTTTAAAATTTGAATATCACTGACCGAAAAATAAACCTTAGGTAATATAAATATCCACCTGTTTCATTCGATAAAGATGCACTTAACAGGTATAATCTCTTCATAAATATATCAAAGTAACAATATTAAAATTAAAAAAAGAGAAAAAAATCGAAAAAAAGAAATAAAAATACTATTATTACATGCATAATAACCGAAACGTAGAAGCGAAGCAATAGTGTGACATTTTCTAACGATGACATGAAAGCTAGGAGGGAGGAATCTTTTAAAGCCCTGTTCGACTTGTCAAAACACTTGACTCCAATAAGAGGACTGACAAATTGTCCCGCTTGTTGTCACCGGTCCTTTCCCCTCCACATATTAGAGATCTGGTATGCCGTCCCAGGATAATGGGACGAGTTGTATTATTTGAGTTGCTTTGATTAGCCTTGTTGGGGCTTTGACAAGGTCGGAATGAATGTGGTAAATGGAACGTCCACCATTTTGATGCAGCGCATCACCGAATTCCATTCATCATGTGAATCTTTGTTGCAGTCGCGGTGACGTCACCGAAGCGAATTATTTTGCTTTTATCTTTTCTCTTCCCCTCTTTTTTTCGTTGGAGAGGCAAATTTGTTATTAGCTTCCGTAAAGTGCTACATCTGAATTTCATGACAACCTGTTATAGGGAATAGATGATATGCTATAATATATATTTTTCATGTGCAAAATCACATTTTTAAGATAAAGCATCTGAATATGATACGATGAACAAGATGTTTTATTAAGGATAGAGCTTTCATAATTCGATAACGTTATCATATGCTTTTATTGGATCTATCCTAACCGCATTCAATTCGGATTTAGAATATTAATTTGAGTTTTCCTATAAAGCTTTTTTTATTATTATTTTATCTTCACTTAAATGTGAAACTTCGACAGGAACTCGAGAAATTAATGGAAACAGTTCTACAAAATCGTCGAGTGGGGGAAAAACAAAACGAGTCAGGACAATCTTCACACCAGAACAATTAGAACGTTTGGAAAGTGAATTCGAAAGACAACAATATATGGTCGGACCCGAACGATTATATCTTGCTTCTTCATTGAACTTAACGGAGGCTCAAGTTAAAGTTTGGTTTCAAAATCGAAGAATTAAATGGAGGAAGCAGCATCTGGAATTACAGCAAGCGAGACTGGCCAATTTACAGAGAGAGCGGGATCTCGATTACGACGATGGAAATGAGTTACCAACGACTTCAAATACTGTTTATGAACCGTAAATTAAGCATATTCATTATGAACCTCTTGTATGTTTTATCTGTTAAAGCATCTGGGAAAAGGACCTTGGATTGTAGGACCACTAAAGAAACAAGTCTGAAACAATAAATCCAACAACTACAAATCAATATTTTGTGTTCAAACGATTAATGAAAAAGTCAATGACTTAAAAAATAATTTCTGTTTTCAAGAATTAGCTAATCATTTGTTAAGATTAGTTTTTCCAACTTCTTCGTCATGTTTTTAACATTCTACAAGAATCTAAATAAGACTAATTGTAATTGCATAAAATAAGAATTATATATTGATTCAAAAACGTTTTTAACCGAATAATCGTAAAGGATCAAACAATATAAAATTAAAAAATATAATTCAGATTACATAACCTGTATTTTGTTTGAGAAAAAGCATATTTGACGACAAGCTTTCAAGAGAATCAATCATCAACGGCCCCTCAACCTGGGTTTCTCATTTTTGCACATTCATTTGGGAAATTTTTCCATGAATGTAAGTAATTTACTGTATTTTGGATGTTGCTTTTTAGTTTTTCTGTAAAAAGATTACCTTAAAATTTAGTTTAAACGTTAATACTGATTGTTCTCCGATCCAGTTTATGTTATGTATTAGGTTAATCGTTCTCATTATTATGTAATTCTAAACTGCATATTCATTACATATTTATTAAGAATACACTCTTAAACGTTTACAGGACGACTAAAAGTTGTATATATTTTAAAAAAATCAATGTAAATATTAAAAAAAATTCTGCTGCCATTTTTCTGGACTAGTCTAAGAAATACGGATTATGTGAAAATTTATAACTGTATATTTTTTAATTATAAACTTTTGAATATTCCAATTATTTTGATTTAAATATTTGAAAATATGTATAAATAGCTGTATTTATAAAAAAACAAAAAATAGTTTGAAAGTTGCATGCTTATTGTGAAAAAAAAAAATTATAACAAATGTGTGAATCTGTGGTGCACATGAATCTTATATTTGTTATTCTGTACATAAAGTTTATGAAAAGAAAATAATAATTGAAAAAATAAATATGATAAAAACAGTATTTCAATTTTGATTTGATCTTAAAAATTAAAAAAAAAAAAAATTAAACTCATTCCAATTTCCTTAAAATATATTCGAATAAGTTTTAAAATCATTTTTGTTATTGTTAAATTTTCGCGAATAAATGTCACTGTGTTATCTAATGCTGACAATAACACTTATAATAAATGTTACTATTAGCATAGGCTTAACGCTAAATTCAAGACAATTAAACTGATTCAATCGGACACAAAATTTAACTATTCAAATAATTAAAATTTAGTACAAACTTGTTTACATCATAACAAACAATACCGCTATTTGAATGAATAAATCATTATAACACTGATTATTTGTATTGTATAATTGAAGAGGATGAAATATTTCTCGACACAAAGAATTAAATTTAAATAAAAACTGAATAGAAAAAAAAACTGTGCACCACCGATATAGATTAATCGATGTAAACATCCGAAAATATTTTATTTTAAATCTGGTTAACAATGTATGTAAAACTTAATAAACGTGCTCTATACATGTATTTTAACATTATCTTTTTTGAGTGCGAATTTCATTGTAGAAATAATAAACATAAATAAACAAGGAAGGAAAAAAATAACAACGAAATTTTAATATCTCGTTTCCTTTAAATACGGATGATATATAGGATAATACCTCTTACGTTTTGTACACAAAGACTTCAAATAGAAGACATTTTAAGTCCTGTGTGGAATTTTCTAATTAATTTTTCTGCCTGGAGTGAAAAATTTTTTTCTTTATCTTCACCGAAACAAAAAGTATATCTCTATTGGTATTTTCAACCGAAAAAAAGGCAAGAGAGATATTATTATTAATCGTCCGGTTTTGAGTGGCAGCTCGAAAAATTCTTTTGTAGCCAAAATTTTCTAATTAGAGGTGTCTAAAATATGTGAAAGATTGATAATCTTTTTTTTTAAAAGATAAAAGTCGTTTTATCGATTAGAAAACTGCATCATTCATAGCATATTCAAATGGCTGTTTTGGAACTTTTTGTAATAGGAAAAGGCTATTATCTGAATTTATGGGCTACTGCTTATCAGTTTAGACTTCGGTCTCCAAAACAATTAAGGGAATTACCCATCAAATTAAGCAATAGTCTCAATGTTGTTTAATACTATACTTCAATTAATAGTTGTTTTTCTCTATTGATCTTCGTTTAAGTTAAGAATATAAGCTGGAAATTTATCAAAATGGAAAACTTTTTTATGTATTTAATGCGCTCATCAGTAATAATAAGTGGGTTGAAAGATAAAATTTATAAATCAGAATATAAATTAATGATTCTAATTTATAATTTTTATAAAGATAGAGAATAATTATTGAAACAATATTAAATATATACTTTAGGCCTAATTGTTTGTTTTTTTTTAATAACTAATTTTCATGTTTATTCAATATTTAATATTTAACAAAGGTTATCTGTATTTTGAAAAGCGTTAATCACGAATAGTTGTTTGATAATGATTAAAACACGCCGCATCAAAATGGCGGGTAAACTATTGATCAGTTGTTAAGAATACAGTAGATTAGTATAATTGAGGTTATTACTAAAGATAAATCGGATTTCGTGTTCATCGTTACGTAAGAGTTTGTCGACTGAAAACACTCCAATTATTTGCCACGATAATTAAATTCTAAAGAGATGACCTCGACCAATCGGATGGCGGAAGACATAATGAACAGATTATCTCTCTTACTGGATATATTGACTTCTGTAGCTGTTATTATTAAATTAATTAGAAATATTTTACTTAAAATTTTACGAATTCTTCCGAGATTGTTTTAATTGATCCGGATCAGTCACATTGAATAATAAGAGACGTCATTACAATCATAATAATATCCAATCTCGTTTACGGTCTATGGGATTAAGTTACGTTTTAAATCGAAAATATATCTATAAATCTCCCCTTAAAAAAAAAATATATATATATATTAAAAGAATTTTTCAATATATACTACACCGTTCAGTTTAATATAATTTGTCTTAAAAGGAATTTAAATTATGATGACGTAATAGGTTTATTAATTTTTGAAAAAATAGTGATTTTGATTGATTGAGTTTATTTTCGGGGAAATATTTTGATTAATTATGAGATTTTAATGATGAAATTATCGAATAAAAAGTAAACTCGCGTCATTTTAAAATAGATTATCAACTCCTATTTAGATAGATTATTCTGAAAACTCACCTTAAAGTAAGCGTAATAAAATATTAAATTAAATCTTAAATGATGATAATAATAATTTAAAAGAAAATTCGTATTATTAATTTAATATTCTGATTTATTACTTTATTTTTCTTAATAAAAATTAATCATAGATATTACCAAATCGGACCTTATATTTAATTTTTAAATATATTTCCTTACGTGTTAAGAGGACTTTTGTTTTTAGCTTTAGAAATAAATTATTATCATGATTGACAACAAGAGACTAATTGGTGCTATTTGACTATGGTATATAATTTTTAACAATTATACCTTTATTACATAAGTGTTAACCAGTTTATTGGATATGTATTTTTTATTCGTTTAATCATTTATAATATTAATTTTATTTAATCTTAATTAAATTAATAGTGTCATTCACACGCAGTGTTTATTTATCCAACAAGAATATTTAATATAAACAACATTGTTGAGAAGTAACCAATAAGAGTGATTGGTAAAGTAATATGTGATGCCGTCGCCTATTGGTTGATATTCAGAAAGACTTTAATGTCGCTTCATCTCGATAATTTTCGTATAATTTTGTGGATAACGTTGATTATTAAGTAGAATAGTAATAAACGAATGCAACATGCTAATTAATATATCCGTAGTATATTTGTATAATCAGTGAAGCTAATAAAATTCTATGTTTTTTTTCATGTTTAGCGACGATTCAACAAGAAAGATAAAACAAAAAATATATAAATATATAATTGTAAGACGTATAAAAATGAAAATAAAAATTTCTTTTGATATATGAACGTATTTTATTCATAGTTCATAGTTGTAAAATCGGAAAAACAACGAAAGAATGTAAGATGATAAAATTGTTTTTCCTTGTCTCTCATCCTTCACTTTAAAGAACTAAAATTTTAGGCAAAAGTTTAAAGAATGTTATTATGTCTAGATTAATACCAGGAGTGTGATAGGTAAGGAATTTTGCATATTTTTCTAAAATATCTTAAGTTCGATCTACATATAGGGCTACTTTATATGGTTTCTTGAAAACTGCGCTATTAAACACTCCCTAGAAATGTCACAGATGCATATAGTTAAAGTGGTTTCACTCGCTAATTTTAACTTGTTCCTTAATTACTTTGGAAAAACTAATAAATGAAATCTTTCAAAAGTCTAAGAATTCTTCAAAAGATTAATATATTAGTCTCTATAAAAACAGGGGAAAATAATAATATAAAATAAAAATTGGGGGTGAGCCAATCGAAATTGTTGTCTCCTGTAGCAATTTTCTTCAATCGATTCATAAAAAAAAAAGTCAGCTTTCTTCGGAAAAGAGGAAAGAGGAAGAAGAGAAATAAAAAAAAGAAAAAAAAGAAAGCCTTTAAGCGTATAGAGAAATATGATATTGTGGAAAACCAACCGAAAACATTACACCGCAGAAAACAGAGGTATAGAAAATAGGGGGTGAAATCAAAGAAATCTACTACCTCCTTTTGTTGGAAATGGAATTTGTTCGGACAATATTGGCAAAGTAGGAAGAAGAAAGATCGTTCTTTTCGATGGCATCAATCTCAATAGAAGTAAACAAGTCAATGTATTAGTATATAGAAGAACGAATGGGAACATTAAATCCATGCCACCGCCCACGGGCTTGTGTATCGGATCAATACCCAACTGCCTGCAAGCCACAAACATCTACAAACCGATTCTTAGCATCCTATAATACTCTGTTAACAACTAGCATCTAAATCCGTTTGCAACAACAGACGTTGCAGCCAACAATTTAATTTGTCCCCTTTTCGTATTCAGGAGAGCGTATAAAATAACGTTATAATTGAGATCAACTGTGTCTAGAGATCAGTTGCCTTAATCCCCCTTCCCCCTTAAACCTTATTAACTTTTGATACAGCCTGTTTCCGTCTGATTGCCTCGCTCGCTGTTCCTTTATTAGCCCCGACCGAGCAGTAAACTTCTGCCCGAAGAAGTTTTCACAACAAGCTCTATCTTAGCAAAGGTATTGCAAGAATGTAATTAGTGTTGGATGGATGAGGGAATGGATGTGGCGGGGGATGTTTTGCACGGGCTGCTTCCTGATTGCTAGCGAGTCACACGAACCCGCTAGACTGAGGCATGCAATAAGATTCAAAAGTCGTACGGAATTCAGTATTCTCCTTTCCTTTTATTGAATACTTTAAAACGTTGCCGTTTAAAGG